TGCAGAACAGAAGAATTAAATAGGTAAAGGCCTCTCAGAAAATAAACTATTCTGACACAGGAACCTAGTCTCTCTTGGGACTGTATTCTTCTCTGATACCCACCTTTCTCTGGGTCTTGGCCTCTGAGTACTGCCAATCTCTTAGCAACCTGTAAGATTTTTTCCTGCCTAGTGTTTTCTTCTCGCAGCTCAGCAGCAGCCTCTGCCAAAAGTTTATTCTTCTCTTCCTCCAGCTGTCTTGGGTCCAGATTTGCATGGGAAACACAATCTTCACTTTCCCGACTCAGGTCATTCAAGTTTCGGCCACTAACAGCTGAAAACAGACATACAGAACATGCTGGTAACTCAGCTGCAGTATTCCTTGGGTACAGCCAACACCACTGAAGCAATAGCATGTGAGCACCTTGATGCTTTCCATTAATTAATAAGAGAAGGCATGTCACAACAGGATCTGCACTTTATGTGAACAGAAGAAGGCGAGTCAATCTGCATTTTACAGGAAGATTATAGAGAAAACACTGCAGCTGGGAAGACAACAGTATCCCAGATTTCTGATGTTTTCCAGAGCACAGATGTATTAGGAGTAGCAACAGCTTAGAATCATAGAATCACCAAGGTTGGAAAAGACCTAAAAGATCATCCAGTCCAACCGTTCACCTATTCCCAATAGCTCCCACTAAACCATGTCCCTCAACACAACATCCAGCTTCTCCCTAGGTAAGTGTCAGCTTACAGAAACACAGCAGAACAACCCTAAGATAATAACAAAATGGAACCATTTCCCAAGCAAAGACAGTGAGATCCAATATTGAATTGGGTGCTGTTCTTTGTCAATCTTGTGTCATAAGGGGGACATAAGGACACACCGGACACCTAGATCACCTGTAAGGTAGGAAGGGCAGCATATATTCCTTTCTCACTGTAGCAGGCACATTAAGAGACAAAAACAGATCTTTGGAAGCCAGAATAGATACCTTGAGGCTGGACTCCTGGACTGTCATGCTCATCAATAGAAACTTCCTCAGCTAGCTGAGTTAACAGGTCATCTGTTTGCTGTGACAGACTTCTGGTATCAGGGGGTTGGTGTACCTAAGAAACGAGAAGGGCATGGGAGAAAGCAAATGTGAGGAAGGTGGCACACTCAATTAAAAAAAAAAAAAGAAAGAAAAAGTGAGTAACCATATAATACTCTGAGGAAACAGTATAAAAAGATGCATCTACTGATTTGGGAGACTCAGCTTATAGGTATGTGGTGTAAGACTTTCAAGGTTTCATTCTCAGTCTTTTTGAATGCAGCCATCATTAATGCAATCATCTAAACAAGGCAATGCAGGGCTGAACATACAGCAATTGATGCTGCTGTATGCCAAACCCAGCTCTGCCACTGCCTCTAATATAAACAAAGTGCCATTCTCTACAGTGAAGCCCATAGTAAGAGCTGCATGTGCATCACTGCTGAAAAAGGAGCATGAAGAAACAATTTCTCAGTGACAAGACCAGCAATGCTGGTCAGCAATAATGTAAACAGGAAAAGGAGATTTCTGAAGGGGGACACCTGAACAAAAAACGCTAAAGGACAAAGAAAGGCTAACATGTTGTGCCAGCTTAGAATACAGAGCTGGTGAAACAGGTGGAGAGCTTACTGGTCTGGTAGCCTGGGAAGGGGGATCCCTCCCCTGCAGGACAGCCAACCGGTCCTCCATTTCCTGTGCAGATGGAATAGGTCCGTGGTAATCCTCCTTCAGTGCAGCCAGCCTAGCTTCGATCTCAGCCTGAGAAGGGATGGATTCTGCAATTCGGAATAATCCAAGGAAGGGGTTATTGAAAACAAATAGCTTTGAATTGGTTTTATTTTGTTGTTTTTGTTTTTCCAGAATCACACTCCAAACACCTGAGCAAAAACCTCCCTAAGTCCTTAACTCAAAGGAATAGTCATACTGCAGTAACTAGGAGATTCCTCTGCCACCCTTTTCTCCCAAATCACTGCCTCCTCCTGAGTTTATTCTTCCAGTTCTAAGACCCGTGTTAGTGCAACCTCATTTGGCAATCGGCTGACTACTAGGGACAGATACTAGGGATAGACAGAGAAGCACATGTCCTTCAGCGAGTACAGTCTGTTGCATCCTTTAACAGATCCCTAGGCATCAGACTGAAATCTCTCCTGCATAATCAGGTAACCACCTTGCAGTGCCTTTCCCTCTTAGACACTGTATATAAGATTTTTTAAAAGTTTATTTTCCAACAGGCACCCCAAGGCTGTCCCGGAATCTGAGAGCTGCTGACCGGAGCAGGAGTCTGGTTTTGTTCTCTGTGAGGCCAGATTCAGAATAATAATCCCACAGAGACTGGTACTGCTGTGGATCAGCACAATGACATACAGGAAAACTTCTACAAAATGGTTTGGCCAAAAGATGGCCCCTTTCATTCTGCAGCTACTGTGCCCAACACAGACTTTTACTGCCAAACAATGAAAAATGAGGAAGTGATTTCATAGGTAAGATACTGCCCCAGGATTGCGAAGCCATTTCAAGAGAAATCCCAAGGGGAAGATTAATCTAAAACCACTGCAGAACCCGGCCACTGGGACAGCTCTGATCACATCACTGCCTTCAGTTCCTAAGAAGGCTGATACTGAATGCCTGGTACTTCCCTTTCCCTCCCATAGTTTTTCAAGTAGCAGCATCCCCTCCTAGGGAATTTCTGGTCTCTCCAAAACTCACTGGGCTTCCTTTCCTCCCTGAGCTTCTCCAGTCTCTCTGCAATAGCTCTGTCCTCTTTGGAGAGCCCTCGGTATTTGGAGCCATCTTGAATGAGTAGTTTTGCATCTGCCTTCTGTTGTCCTTTCAGCTGTTTTTGCTTAGCCTCAAATGCTGCTACACGCCTGTGTCAAGGATGGAAAAAAACAACTGAAAACAGAGGTTTAAATCTTGAGATATGAAAACATCCTCTACGAACACAAGCTATTTGAAGAACATCAGTATAGAGAAGTCTCTCATTCCTGTACCAGGCTCTCCCATACCGGTACAGAGATACTGCCATGAATAAGGAAAACTGTGACTCCCATGGTGCAGCAGGCGTGGCATCATTTCTGAGGAGACAAGGAATGTTTCACCACCAGGCTTGTTTCCAAGCCAACCACAATCAGTCATAGAATAACACAGACAGGCTGCTGTTCATGAGTGTATTAAAAATTAGAGTGTTTCCTTCTACTCTCCAAAACAATAACCAAAAAAAAAAACACACCTACAAAGCAAAAGCCCATCCTTAATCTAATACTGAACAAGCAAACATCCACATCACAACCTGCTTCTTTTGCTGGTTTCTATAAGGACAGAGGGGGAAAGAGCTGAAGGTCTGTAAGGTTACCCTACAGCAGAAACAGGTGGCTGATCAGCAAGCTTAACTCACTTTTTGTAGTTTTCTGGTGGTGACCATTTTGCCGAAGTGCTTTGAGACTCTTGTCTGAAACATAAAAATACTGTTATCTCTGAACTCAAGACTCCAGCAATGCTTCAAACATCTATTCTCTCAACCCGAGAGGAATCAGAATACATGTGTATTGATCACCTGGTACAGTCCTTTCATAACTCCATTAATATAGAGTGATCAGCTTGTGAAAGTGACTAAGATGATACAGCTGCTTGGACAGGAGGTGACTTCATTTCTAGTCCTATGTTCTTGTTGTTTTGCTTTTAAATCAACTTTGTTTGATTTAATACAGACACCAGGAGGAGCTGAAATGCCCTTGGCCTCCCAGAGCCTGCACATCCCAGTTCAGCAAGCAGAGAGCGCAGTTAGGTAGGATTCTCAAGGTAATTAGCTTCCATACAGTACAGCTCCCTGAAAGGAGCAACAAACACAGAATTATATAATGCACAAGCTAAATTGTATTATGGAAATAATTATGTAATCACCAGTATCATGATGACATCTTCTAGGACACTTGAACATCACCAGTAAATCTTGTGTAACTGTTTCCTACCTCCTTGTGTTTGTGTCAAGCTGCTAAGCTATGCTTATATAAGGTAGTTAGCATACTTTATTCATTCTTAGAAGGCACAGCTACAAATACCTGTGCTGTGCTAAGGACAAGCAAAGGCAAACGTGGGCAACACCTTCATCGGACTGCTTTCAACTTCTGAGTCTTCCATTGTGGAAGCCGACTGTGTGAAAATCACCAACTCACACAGCCCACAAAACATAGCCAACACATACTATCTACCTGCTACCCACTCAGGGAAGAATTTCTCCTGCTCTAACCCAACAGTTACTGATACTAAACAGACAAGGGGAAAAAACAAACAAACAAAAAAAACCAACTGAACAGCAAAAGTAACGTAGGAGAAGGCCGAGTTTTTTTCTAGACGTGTTTGGAGCTGCAAAGGGAAAAAGGCAACGTTCCCGCCCACACTTACCCGGTGAGCTTCCCGTAGCACTGCTTGCACACCTTCTGCGGAGCGCTCCCGCAGCGGGGCACCGGGGCGCTGCAGCTCAGGCAGCCCGAGCAGAAGGCGCGCCCGCAGCTCCTGCAGCCGCACTGCGGGGACACGAAGCGGGCGGGTCAGCTCCCGAGCGGCGGGGCGCGACGCGGCCCGCACCGGGCCACAGCGACGGGACGCACCCGAGGCTGCGCGGCCCGGCACGCCCTGGGCTCTCCCCGAGGCCCGGCCCCGCCGACCCCTCGGCCGGACTTGCCTCTTTCTTGAAGAGGCTGAACTTGCAGGCGCAACCGTAGCAGCGGCCCTCCATGACGCCGCCATCCCACGCTCCGCAGCGCTGCGTTCAGCCGGCAGGCCGGGCCCCGCCCCTCCGCTTCTGCGCGCGGCCCGACGGGAGCGGGTGAGGGGAGCTTCGTTTGAAACGCGGGAGGCGGTCGGGTTAATGGCGTGCCGTGCCGAGCTCAGCTGTGGCACGGTGAGTCGCACATTCTCCGTCCCGCACAGAGCTGCCGACGCCACGTTCCACAGCTTACAGCACACGAGGCTGAGTGGCTTGTCCTTGGGGTTCAATGTGACAGAAGCAGCAAAGCATCACCAAATTGGAATCTGGAACCTGAGTTTCAGTTTTTGTCCAGATGAGGAACTATCCGCGTGCCAAAGCTACCCATGTTTTCAGTCTTAGTCTTGTTTTCTTGGTATTGTAGTCCAAGTGAAGTGTAGTCCAAGTCCAAGTGAATGCTGTCTTGACCACAGTTACTTATGGCACGGAAATGCACTTTAACAACAAAAATAAACCTAGGACTAGTAGATTTTTTTCTGTGCATTTTTGTAGAGCTTTATTTCAGGCTGCTTTTGTCTCAACAGAAGTGATTGACAAATCTCTGTTCTGGTTTTACAGATTAGGAAAGCCTGTTGCTCAAAGGCCCTGACTCACCTCCCAGATAGGAGCCAGGACAGTCCCAGAGCAGGTAAGATTGGGATACTTGGGCACAAACACTCCTCTCATCTTTTCCACATGCATAGGCTGATGGAAATGGCTGTATTTGAGCACAGATCTATTATGTAACAACTGCTTGTGTTATAAGGTTTGTATATACACATGAATATGTGTGTATATATGTATTCATTACAGCTGCTACTCTATTTTTTTTTAAGATTAAATCCTTACGTGTTGGTTTTATAAGCTGTATGTAGTACCTGATGAACTTTGATTAGAACCTCTCAAAATCAGTGCTGATATTTGAATCCTAAACCTTTGGCCATTATGTCCCTGGTGTCTATTGTTTGGTGAATATTAATTCATGTATCTCAGAAACTGAACATTAATAGTAAGTCTCTACCTCATTATTACACATGGGCAATGCGCATTCTGAGCTGATAATTGTCTTTTAAATGCATGTCCTCTTCTGCTATGCAGTTGAGCATACCTAAGCTTGTAGCAGGTGTCCGAAGTGTATAAATCCTCCATTTAAGATTCACAGCTAATGGAGGGTGAAAACGAACGATAGTATCAGAAGAATGTTTTCTATGTTGTGTTTCCCTGTTTGGCAGGCTGCAAATTTACAGCAAAATGACAAAATTAACTGAAGTCTGCTGGCAGGAATTCAAAAAACAGTTGGAGAAACATTGAAGCTTTTGATATCTGCAGAAGGGAGTGGCAGATAGTCTGGAGCGTTTGTGGAAGCTCCTGTAAATCTGCATGTTCATTAAGGAAAGCAGTTAACAATGACTCCTAACATAACTGATGAAATGTGGAAATCTTAGACTTCAGACAGAAAAGCCCTTCCTATGAAAGAGGGAACTTATGAATAACGTATTTCAGAAAATACATTCCTGAATGCAGCCTACATCAGTACTGTTGAATTCATACTTTCAAACCAAATGAGGGTGGAATTTTTATAGCCAGGCTGCCTGCCCCTTAGGGCTTATGACTTGCCTGCAAGAAAGGCTTGCCTACAAATAAAGCACCCTGCTCATGCCACATTCCCACATCTGAGATTGCTTCTTAATACTATATTCCTAGGGACTAGTTGCAAGACTAGAATTCCTATATGCAGTAAATTACTGTTTCATGAATTGTTCATGCTTCTCTTTTGAATTTATGAATGTTAAAAATCTGGACCTAGGAAGCCTGATAGTAGAGCCCCACATTAGGCTATGAAAAGAAAATCTGAAATAGTACTGAAGTTACCATCAAAGCTGTCAGCACTGCATATTTAAACTAGGCATCCATGCAAGTTTGCACTGGGGATTATTACTTTAGTTCCTCCTTGAAAGTCTGACCCAGAGAGAATTAGCATTCGTACAGTTTGATGTTTAGGTTAAGATATCAGAATTGCCTTCTCCCCTCTTCCATGAACACACACAATCTGTATTCCAAGTTTGTACAGAGAACATAAATCCAGCAGGATATGAGGTTGAACTGGAAGACATACATTTGTACATACATACATGCCATGCAAAACATTATTGTCTTTGAGGTTGGGTTCCTCTAGCTCTCCTTAGCTCTTTGTGATCAGCAGTTCAGTTCATGATGGCATCATACTTTTAAAAACTTTGGAGGGAAGATCATGGAGTTTCCATCCTGAATGATACCCAAAGTACTTAGGCACCCAGAGCCATATTTGATGAGTTTTGCCTGTTGCAGCTTGTTAAAAACAGCACCGGTTTTTGGCAGACTAGTTCCTTCCAGCTATAGCACAGGTGCAGCCCTCAGGTACTGCATCCAAATTACCTGCCACGCTGAAAAGGGAGAATATACTGTATTCTACTATATCAGCATTTCTCCATGCAGAAACACAGTAAGAAAAAAGCATTTTATTAGTAACATAAGGAGATAGTACCGAACAGGTACTATCCCAGGCTTATGCTACAGCCACCCAAGTGTCTCCTCCTTGCTTGATTTCCTCAATAGTTTGCATAGCCAGATCAGCTCATAACAGCTACAAGTATTTGTTGTCGGCTTTATATGCAGTTTCCTACCACAGTGCAGCCAGGCTCTAGACCTTTATGCCCACAGCACATCAGATATTATTCTGAGGGTAAAAACTATCCAGTGCTTAAGAAGCAAAATATTACAGATCTTTAAAAAAAGAAAAAGAGAAATCTCCATAATTCAGGATTTTCTTAGCTGCCTTCCTGGCACTGGGAAATCGAACTGGCATTCTCTATGTGCTTTTCTTCACAAAGATATAGTTGCTGCAAGAAAATTTATTACATTTTATCCCATTCCAGCTTGGCAGTGGCATTTAACTCTTAACATACCAAGTAAAAGTAAACTGTTATCTGTCCAGAGTAGTGATTTTTTTCTCTTCTTCCGACTTATAAGAGATAGGAGATACTGCTCTAAAGTCAAGATACTTCACACCTAATAAGATATTCTCCAAAGTTATTGGCTCTATTTCTATTCAGAGAGCTTTCCGTTATGTTTTCAGGCCTCATTTTGAGGAAAGGAAAGCAAAACAAAACAAAACAAAAAACAAACACATAATATCCCAATGGAAGATTTCAATACCTGACTCATGGCTTACTTACAAAGTGGCAGCAATAGGTACTTCCTTCCCTTCCTTCTCTCTCACTGTCTGTTCCTGCCATTAAGTTTCTTCAGCCAAGTCTGTTCCCTGTTCTGTTTCTGGTTAAGAAAGCAATGCAGTTATTTGAGTTGAAATGCTGCACAGGAATGTTAACATGCATCTTCAATGTGAAGTGGTCATTTCCAGGCTAACCACTGTGCCTGTACCTACTGTATAAACAGGCTAGGCTTCAAAGCATAAACAAATGTCTGAAGGTTTTTCTGTATGAATACTGGAATGCAGATTAGGGTTACATGGAATTGTCAGAACACAGGCTCTGGAATACAAGTTGCTCCATAGCTGTATTCCAAATTTTTCATGGGTGGTTTCTACTGCTATGGGTAACTGAGAATCTACTTACATAGTTTGTTTTTCTACTGCATCTCGCCGTGCAATACCAGCAATGGAATTACTATAACAAAAGCTTAGAGCCTCAGAAGCAGAGGCTAGTTGCTCTCATACTTTCATCCTGCATTTTCTAGTCCCCGTCTGTGTAGTGTTACCTATGAAATGTATAGCTCAACTTGAATCCGGCCAACTCCCAAACTGTGTCACTGTGAAATTCAACCAGCACAAAATTTGCAGTGGAAGTGAAGTCTGCAACCTTCTTTGTCCCACAGTAAGGGCCAGCTGCTGGTGATGTAGGTCGGCTTCCATCGTGTATGAGCAAATAGTCATAGATGCATCTGTCATTATCTTCCAGCTCAAAGAATAACATTTTAAGAGATACCTGAAGGAAACACAAGAAAAGTACAGTTTCTGAATTATATCTTGTTCTCTTAGCCTTCATATTTAATGAATGCTAATTGTTTAAATCCTTTATGTACAGGCCCTGTTTTCATTCTGTATTCGTCCTACATCCTGACCTTATACTGTAATATAAATCATTAGCAAATTGTTTGCTTAGTTCATGAGCATTAAGTCTGAAAGGAGAAGCAAAAGATCAATTTTGTACACTTTAAATTTCTTTCTCAAGAAACACAAAAACAACACCTGTGCAATATTTCAGTTTTCTAGTGGGAACTCTTACCTAGGGATTATTATGAGCAAAGCCTGCAAAGTACAAGCCGAACTCATAAGTTTCACATGCAGGCGTTAAGATTTTCTCTTGATGATCACCTCAAATACCAAGAGCCAGCATAAGGTCTTAAACTGAATTTACATGTTCAGATTTTCACTCTGCCATTACAGCTGTTATGTTACAAAACGAAACAAATTGATTCCATTAGGGAACATCGCTGCAAACAGTGAAAGAATCAGTTCTTTACCTTATATCCTACTGGAGAGCTGATGACCCAGAAGCATGCCCGGTTTTTGGGGTATTTATTGGGGTAGTTTGGAGAGGTGATGATTCCACTGGAGTCTGTGAAAGTACCTCCACAATTCACTGAGTAGTAGAAAAAAAAAAAAAAAAAAAAAGGATGGTATATTAACAAGTATTTTGACAGTAGAAAGAAGCTTGCTTGTACTCTCCTGTATTCTTTCTTCAAGCCAGGAAAGGTTGCGCTATGAAGAAAATGTATCAGCAACAGATTTTCACTGCTTAGCATTTTTATCAGCAGCTGTACCAAAGGCACTGAAAACTTGGCTGCTAAAAAAACCTTTGAAGGACAGGGAACAGATGAATCTAAAGCTACATTTGCCATATGTGTTACCATGTTAACGTAGCATTCTAATGGAACTACCTTACAACTCTTTCAGAGAAGAATTAGGTTAAGTATTTGAGACTGCATTACTGAGCTAGATCTGATGTCATCTAGAAATTACTCCATCAAGCCTAATGCAGAAAAACAAGGATACATTCTTAAGACTTCTTCAACTTACATTTTTTAAGGATTGCAGCTTAAGCTGAAATAAGACAATAGCCACTTATTTGTTTGCTGCCTTCTAACTGAAAGCATGTTGCAGCACAACAGAATTGTCTCCAGCAGTGCACAACACATTTTGTATGCTTATAAAACAGACACCCCCGAAGTGAATACAGTAAGCACTGAGTTTCATGCAGCATAGCAGAGCTATTTAAATCAGAAAGTGTAAGCTACCCAAGGTTATTCTCTCCTGTGCATAAAATGCACTAAAACCTTTAATAACATATGAACCAAATCTTTGCTTTGCTTCTCTCTGGCATGATTTCTCTTGGCATTTTGCAGTCTTTTCTTCTTTGCTTGCACTGCACACGTTAGTCACAGTCATTGCATTGTTCTTATTTACATAAATTTTGCTAAAGATGTGAAGATGCCCAGCAGAGGCTTTGAGAAGAATGTTACTCAGTTACTCAGAATTACTAGTGTGAGATCCATGCAGCCTCCTGTTTTGCCCACTGCTATCCTTCAGCGTCATCATTGCTCATCCTACTGTGTTAGTAATACCTATGGAGGTGCAAAGACTAACAGATAAACCTGCCCTGGATTATGCGTTCAAAAATGTTCAGTTCTTCCATACAAATACAACTAATACTGTACTCTGAGCTCTTTTAAGGAGTGTTCATACCCCTGTTGTAGGAGGCTCTGAATCCTGTGGCTGTAACAGTCTCGTCACTTGCAAACTCTACCAGCATTGTTGATCCTGAAGCAACGATGGAAGGCAGCGGCCCCTGCCCACAGTATTTGTCCAGCAAAACAGGAGAGTTCTTGCTGTTTCCACTGTAAACTTTTACATAGTCAGATGAACAGTCTGAGGAAGTTTGGAGATCAAAAGCCTCAAACTGCAGGAAAATCTTGAGAAACAAAAAACACATTGGATTTACTGCTATACACGAGGAAAGATTCAAATTACCTCACTGTTATGAAGCAAACTAGGAACTTCCATTCGTTTTATTATCCATGTCTCACTGCAATTTTATTGCCTGTATAATAGGAGCATAGAATTTCACCTGCCATCGCTACTACTGTGCCCCAATAACTGATATTTGGTTATTGCTTATCCTCAAAAAAACCTGCAATCTTAACTGGATAAAGAAGTTACATAGTAACGTTTTATGGTATTACCAGAAGTGTTATGAAAATTGTCGAGACTTTCTTCTCATTCACTATATAACAGAATAAATGTCATCATGATAAAACAACGTGGTGTAGCCCTGCTGCTCTGGTTCAAACATTAAAAATTACCTTATTCCGACGGATGCGGATCAACCACAGGCAGTTGCTGTTGTTTGGGTATGGGGATGGGTAATTGACGGAGGAGAACGAGCCTTTGGTTTTTGGCAGTACAGTGCTACAGTAATCTGAAGGGAAGAACCAAACAGTGCTGAAGAGAATAAAATCACACTAATCTTCCAGAAATTCCAGACAATTCTCTCCAACCATTATGATCAGTCAAGCTTGTAAAAAAATTATGCCTACAATTGTGTTGATGTTCCTGGTGTAAAAAATATTCAAAACCATCAGCAAACTCAATTACTTATAAAGGTACTTTGCTGCTTCATCTACTCATTTTATTATTTTTAAACAGTAGGGCTCCACCCACTTATTTCAGTTTTGTGGAAAAGGTCTAGATCTTTCATTAACTTGCTTAACCTTGATCAATAGCAGTTTCATTGATAGTAGTACATAAATTCCCGTGAGCAAATGTATGTGCATTCTTAGGTGTATGCAAAATAAAGCTTAGAACAGATTCTATCAAAACAAAGGAAGAGATAGGCACTGTGGAAAAACTAACACAGCACTGAAGTCAGGTTATAAAATTAGTGATTGGCATTCAATGCTTGATCGCATGTATATTACATCTTTCTCTCACTCCCTGCTTTCACCAAGAGAACTGGACTTTTTGTCCTTTTTTATTTCTACCGGGGTCTATATGTTTTTGGTGTTTTGTTTTTCTTAAACCTTGTCCTGCTTCCCAAATGTACAGATCTAATTAGGTAATTACATAATAATGCTATTGGAGTGTGATTCACTCCCAGCTTCGCTATCAAGAACACTTTTAAGTACTTTTTGTAGTTATCTTTGAGATTATGACAGATGCAATTAAACTGAAAACATGTCTTATTTGCAGTTCAACTGCAACGTCATTGCTGAGAGGTGTTCCTCTGTATACCTACATCCTCAAGTGAAGAAATGCTGATTCCTTTTGATTACTGATGACCATTTGACTTAAGTACTTACACAATTCAAAGCAGAATTTGGCACTAAATGTAGTCATGTTTCTTAGTTTTTTGGTGAAAACTAATTGAGTAACATCTCTGAAAAGTCAAATACTATATAGATCAATTAGCCTATGTGCTGGGAATCAGCACAAAAAATGCACGTGGCCGGAGCAAGTCTGGGATTTTACTTGCATTCTTTTGTGTCTCTCAGCTGGAGAGTTCCTGCTTTGGAGAAATGTTCAGTATTTCTAGACATTCAGATACCACAGCAATGAGTAAGAAGTCGATGTGAGCAAGGAGGTAGATAACTGAACAAAAAGCCAAGGGAATTCCTCTCACAGATGTTCTGTTAAGCCTAAGTGATACCCATACAGCCCCGCAGTCATTTTTTAACTGAAAGAAATCAGAAACCCACTGGTGCTACTGCAGAAAAACTAAACTTGAATCATGGCTCTGGATTGTTCATATGCTTTCCAACCTTCAGAGCTTTCCTAAAACAAGGAATTCACAGAAGTACTACCATGGTTTCTAGTGGATTTTGCTTATGTCAAAGGGCAGGGAATAGGTCAGCATAACTCAATGATAGCATATTACTGAAAGCAAAGTGCCCTTCCCAAGAAGACTGCAGCTTGGCACAGGGACAGTTCTGTTCCACATAGGTAGCAGCCCTCTTGTAGGGCTGGGGAGAGATGGGCAGTGGGCTGAGTTCCTCTGGGGATGTCTGACAGTGGTTACAATAAGTACTGAGCTGGCTATCTTACTGCACTTACTGCACTTGTAGAGCTTGTTGATTTTAGCTACATCCAAGTTACTCAGCCCTTCTCTCTGCCCAATGGGCACCAAAGGGTTAGGAACCGGTACAATAGTTGGTTTCCCAGGAGTGCTGGAGAAATCATACCTGTAGAAATAAGGAAGTCATATTTCTAAATCATTTCTATTAAATATGAACTTGATCATACTCGTGTGCCTCACAATTTTTATTGCACTGTATTGTTTAGAAGTTGTTTCTTGCTAACAGAAGTAAAGGAGGTGGTACATGATACAAACTTGTATGTTATGAAACAAAACACAACTATGATAGTCCTGGATAAATACTTTTCATGAGACAGCATACATCTTAATGATGGAAAAAAATCCATCTTTCTTCTCTCTGCACCCAAATAGTGTTGTCTAAAATTAACGTAGTACTAACTGGTATCTGCCCAGCATGGACTTCCAAACTGTTTTATTTCAGTGTCCCAGTCTTTGAAACATAGCCATGTCAAAGGCCTCTCGTAAGAGAGGTGACCGTAGTGACAGAAAACATTATCCTATGCTTTTTTCTTCTATCAACATCAATTTTGTTTTCCAAGAATACTGCTGACAAAGCACACTTACTCTAAAAAAAAAAAAAAGAAAAAAATCATTCCCTGCACAGAACAATTTCTTCTCCCTAGATCTGAGTGGATCCTATGAAAGCACGCATTGGAAAACTCACGCGCCATAGTGCATCACAGAAGAGTAGTCATAGGGAAGGCCCAGATTTTTGGAGTTCACTTTTCCAAAGTTCCCTTGTTCTCCTGCAAGGCAGAAGAACAACCGTTCATTTAGAGCAGTATTACTGCTATCAGACACCACCTGCTGTTGATGTTGACACTGTCATAATCCTAATAAAAGTAAATTACTATACAGATCGTGAAGTCACACTTGGATCTTCCAAAACAACCAAAACTTTCTGATGTCCATGGGAGCTTTTTTCCACTGAATTTAGGAGGTTTCAGAATATAAACTGAGGAAAACAAGAAAAAAATTCAATGTAATCCATGAATCTAATTCCATTCTTCAAGGAGATGTATTCATCTCTCCACCTTCATTTACGAATATATTTTAGTAGGTTATATTGGACATTAGAAGCATCCAGCTTATGTCCCAAGAGGTTTGTCCATACCTTAACAGAGAATGCTGTCTGGCTACCTAGATCAAGTCAGAGGTGAGACCGACCCACCAAGCTGTCTTGCTGAGCCTTTCCACTGTGCAAAGTAATACAGGGATATAAGACCTCAAGAGAAAAGTACTAGGTTTACCTATTACTCACACTTAAGTTATCAACCATATTCTGGCTTTGCCTCTAATCAAATCCATCAGCAATGGCTACAGCCAAATATTATAGCTTACTTTAAGTATGGGCACTCAGTAAAATCTGTTAGAAATAATCTGTCCAAATACAGCTACTGGTAATGCTTCCCTCAAGATAGCTGCTGTGTACCTCCCCGTTTTATCTGTTTAGCCTTAGAAAACTCCTGTTAGAAAGTATCATATTGATAAAGGAGTGGGGCCCACAGACAGACTAGGATTCACATCCCTTAGCATTCATTCTCTGAGGCACAGCTGGAGGGAGTTTGATCCCGTTCTAATATGGATGCACCTATTTCTCTCTATTGCCTGGAGAGCCTGTGAATTGCATCCTGGTCCTCTTGTCCGTAAGAGGTGAGCAGGGTCAGAGCAGAGCTCAGACTCTGACTCTGAATGCAGTCAGCATTGCCTCGAGGCTAATTTGCTGACCACTGAGCACTCCTTCTTAGTTCGACATCTGTACCTCTGTTATTGTAACTAAGGGTTTGTAAACAACAAGCCATCTGGACAAGAATTCAACACTGGGAACTCATCATAGAAGATCATCCTGACTATCTGACTCTTGAGTTCATGCAATTTGGCTGGCAATCTTGCAGTCAGAGTCAGCCTCTTCCCGTAATAGCCATCTGTGTTGGTCCCAGAGAGGGCTAAGAAATACAAAGAGAAAGTCCTGAACCATACAAAGTTTGGGGATAAACATTATTTTGGAACTTTTTGTAGCTCAAGAACTCAAAGCTCAAACTGGTTCTCATTAGCATTGGCGTTCCCTGCTCAATTACATTTTTATCTCAGTTCCTCTTATCTGCTATACTGACTTAAGAAAATATTATCAGTAACTTCACAGCTTCTTTTGAGATGATGACCAGAGAAGAGCACATTTCAAATGCGGTGAAACATTTAAGCATGTGGCGACTGTTTGGCATGTAGATACTTAGCTGATCTCCTTCATTAAAGAAAGGGGTAGCAGTAGCCTGGTTGGACAACGGGCCAACAAACTATGCTGCCCTGTAATGTGCTGGGAAGCTAAGGGTCGCACATACAGGAGAGCTAAGACCTGCACAGGCATGGGGACTTAACCCATTATATCCACTAAAAAAAAAAAACAAAAACAAAAACCAACAACAAATATCTGCCAGAATCTAAGTACAGTGACTCAGAATGCTGAAAAGGACGCTCTGAGTACAGTTTTCTTCCCAAGAAGTTTGGGAAAAGCAAGCAGAGTTTCAAGTAGCTAAGTGGACACTAAATGATCAGGCTGTATACTGTCAAAACAAAGGATTTGAATAGCTTCCAATGTAAATTGAGGGGGTAAAAACAAACCCCAAACATCCATAGTTATGAAGTCCTGGCAAGGGAAAAGCAGATTATGTGCAAGAACTGGGAGCCTACGGAATGTCTTGAGGTCTATTTCTGTACCACTAAAGTCAGGAGGATCTCTACCATCAGCCCTGTTAGCCACATAGTTTTGTTGGTTTTTATAAACAGATGATGTGCACTAACAGCCTTCATAAACACAGATAGCTTTTCAGTTCATTTCCCCTGCACGTCTCTGCCTTTCCCCCCCTTTCCCTTTTGGTGCACAGTCTAGTCTTCCTTCCATTTCCCCTCATCAGCTCAGTCTATAGACAAGGAGCTCAGAAATATCCTTTAAGAAATCCTGTTAATGAAACATCATGATCTAATTGGCTGATATATTCCACTGTTTTACCATCCTTGTTTCCAGAAGTGGTTTCCTAATGTGACCTCAGTTCAAGTGATTGTAACTGGTTGCTGCTTGTGCTGCCCACGATAGAAAGCAGATGCTTCTTTTTGCAGCATTTCACGATCCTTATGATCTTGATATTGTGGGTAGAAGACAAGTTTGGGCTCAGCATGGCAATCTCAACAAGAATGTAGAACTACTTTTAGGTTGCATTTGCCACAGAGTAACAAACTCACAGGGAACAAGAAATCCCACCACAGTGCGCACATCTCCACAGCTATTCAGCCAGGTGTTGCTGCTGCTGCTGATGTGCACAGTTGTTCTCAGAAGAAACATTCAGCTATATCTCAAAGCATTAGTTTTCTTTTAACACCGAGTGGGCTCACCTGCCGTAATGTGTTCCCACATAATTTTGACAAACTTGTCCCGATCACTCCGTGCCTGTTCGTGGATGAAACCCAGCGCGTGGTTCATTTCATGCTGAATCGCTCCTTTATCCATACAGCCATTTTTCACCAGGCCTACTGCTTGACGTCCTCCAATTTTTCCAAAGTAAGACCAGCAGCTAAGAAAAGCCAATTTTAACAAAAACAGTTACATTCAGCAAATACAAAGAAATGTATATACTGAACATGCCACCGTGGGCCTCCAGATACGCAGCCCCAAAGAGAACACACACAGTCACTAGTGTGAGATATCCTGACTACTTGAAAGCTGCCAAAGAAATTGCAGAGGGAGAAATTGCTCTTGTAAAATAGGTGTAGCATACTTAGGTGAAGCAGTTCAAGTAGGTAAGCAAAAAACCTGAAAGAATTTTCACAACAACTAAGGAAAAGAATAATTTTGGATTATAACGCATTATCTTTCATGAAGTCCACTCATCTTTTCCTGTAGCCTGTTGAATGATATAACTACCAAAAAATGAAAAATTGCACCTGCTTTCTACATCTTGACTCCTAAGATGAAAAGGGAAATTACTTAAAATCTGACCAAAATAGAAAAGAAACTGAAAGACATTTTGTATACTTCCAGACACAGGAGACAGGGAGCTTACCTCTGCCCACGTTCAACATATACATAGTCTGTTTCTGTAGTGCGATTTACAAACTTGACACAGGTCAATGTGGAGACCTCTTGAAGAGCATCAGCAATCCAAGACCTCTCTGCCAATGCTAGGATGAGAAAGGGGCCAGAAGTCTTGGTTAGCTATTTAAAAATAAGGTTCACCGATAGGATGCATTCCTCTAGATCTCTACAGCACTCTTTACCTTTTTATCCTACAAATGTACTGAAGAAAGGCACAGAGCCTTCAGAGATCAGGTTGATCAGATTTTGAAGGAATATGTAATAATTATAACTAGCCCATATGCATTCTGCAGGAGAAGGCTGATGAAAAGCAAAAGACTGGCAGAACATTAAAAAATTAAACAGTTTAAGATGCAAATAATTGGATTGAAACATCCCAAATGAACCATCTGACCTTAGTTAAGTTTGGAAAAAGCAGCTTGTTTATCAGAGGTAATGAATGTCTGCCACACACCCCTTGAAACCATTTGAGACAGCCAGTGTTAGGAAGCTCAGACACTCAGTGTTTCTGTTCAAGTACCAAATGTAGATTGTTTATCTGCTTTTGAACATTTTCGCCTATTTTGGCTTCCTCAATTATGAGTCATCTACAGTTACCTTTCATATCAATTTCCTCATCTTTAAATTTTGGAGAGAGCAAGGCAGAAAGAATAACCCTTACCTAACCACAAGACTTAGGTATGTTCTAAAAACACATGAGCAGAGTAGCAATTAAGACTGGGCTCTCCTCAGCAAAACCAGTAACACAAACCAGTACCACAAAGGTTTCCTTTTCTTGGGAGTAGGAATTGGGTCCAGCCTGACATCAGGGAGGCCTCCACAGGGGAGAGGTGGAGGATCCACAAAGCCCATAAGAAGCCTTCTGGAACAAAATTTTCCAGATGAAGACATTGGCCCTGGAGCCTTTTCCACTAGACAGATCGTTTATGACATATTTGAAAGAAAGTCAGTGTTAAAATAATTGCTTCTGGTGGTAATTATGACAAATACTTTCCTAACTTGGACAAATTACATATCTTTTTCTTCTGTACTTGCTGAATATCAAAGTGCATAGTAGCTAGCAGAAATGGACTATTATTTGCAATTAAAATTAACTGGTATTTTTTTAATATAACAAGCACTGCTTGAGTAACCACATTTTAGTGCTCATGCCTAGAATGTTTGGAGTCTTAGCCGAAGTGCCGTAGGGCCAAGAGATTAGCAGAAGAGACATGTTGATAAGTTCTCATTCGGACTCAGAGTCCATCTGATGCATGGCACAATACCATAAAATATTAGAACAGGGACTAAAAGTTCAGTGCTAGCTTTACTGTGTCCATTTGTATACACTTACAGAAATCAGAGGAGATGTTAACTGGAACTTTGACTAGTCCATCCTGCGACTTGGGCCATAAACAGCTCTCACAGTTAATTGCACTGCGTTGTCCTCTTCTCAGGAGAATGTCTCCTTCATGCACAGCTATTTTACTGTCTGGCAGATGAAGGAAATGAACATTCAAGGCACTGAGACATCAAAGAGAAGTGCAAAAGGAAGATGAGAGGCATACACTAACCAAAATTTTGTACCTTCCGAAATGTTTTCCACTGAAATTTATTTCCCAATAACGTGACAAAAGATAAGTGAATTCAGTTTAAGTGAGTCTAGTATACATAGACTGGTCAGGCTTACCTTTCCTTGCCATATATTTATCACAAACTGTAGCTACTGGTTATTATGTCAAAAATGTACAATATTTTTGGATACAACAGAGAGTGAAGTGACTTCCATCATACAGGGAAGAAATCAAAGTCAAACGTATACTCATTTTTGAGGGCATATGTGGAAAAGAACATTCAAAATAACAATTACTCTGTAGTTCTTCTAAATTTCTTTATTGTGACAGCATAAATAATCAAATCATAATCAAACTGAATGTGACTTTAAAACACATCTGAGTTTTGTGAATTATTTTCTACAGATACAGTAAACATTTTCAAGAAGAAAAATGTAAGAGACATAGAGAATGAAGTATAGAGAAGGAACCCCCCAAGAATTGCAGTAATTTATAGAATAGTTGCAGTCAAACTCACCTAAGTCATTGTTTCTTGTAGCTATCTGAAAAAAAAAAAGTACATTTTTTACATATACTTATCTCAACAGCAGAAAAATTACATTGTGTAGAATCACAGCATTTTATAAATAATTTTAACATAGAGCAACAGAGCAGCACAGCAAAGGCAATATGAAGTCTCAGCATCAAGGAGCAGCAACACACCTGGACAGGTTTGCTTAGAACAAAGCTATAGAGAAATGCAAATTGAGTTGGCAGAAGAAGGCACTTCATCTTCAAGTTTCTGAGATGATCTCTGCTCTGCAGCTCAGTTCTCAAGGCCGTGACTAGCTTACTTGGGACAAGCTTTATGGGAAATCTGCCTTTAACAAGTGCAACAGACTTAGATAACGAGTAGTAGTTTCACAAAACAAACAAGCTGCAGGACCTCAAGAGAATTGTCAGACTCTTACTTCTTATTTATCTTCAGAGAAAACAGAGGAAGTGGAGCAATAGGAAAGAAAATCCAGCAACCTTGAAGTGACTCATCTTTAAGAACCCATGAACTGCTGCAAATTCCCTCACTGCTGACCTAGGGACAGGATATCTGGTAGTAGTCTGTTTACAGCAAAACTCAATGTCAAGGAACTCTTTGATCCATCTGTACTGATTACCTGTCCTAGAAACAGCTTTGCACACTGCCAGGAGCCACCCTGTTCTGCAGAGCCCAGCTCTCAGCCAGAGCAATGGAAATGTGCTGGAGACAGAAGTTGATTGCTGTGTCACTGTTCTCCCCCCTCCCTCATTGCCCTATTATGCAATATCACATCATCACTGGTGGTGATTGTGTCTTTTATAAAACCATGAGCTCCCTGAGTTTTGGCTTCCCGTCTCTGGGATGCCCTTCCTCATTTGATGTCCATGAGTAGAAACAAGCCTGAAGAGATGCACAGCACTGAATCGTAGAAAACCTACACTATAAGAGCAAGCTGTGTGATGGAGATGTTTGCACTGAGGCCATGTGACAACAATTACAGGCCTGCTCTAAGTTTCAGCCTCTGTGCAAATATCCAGTGCTAGAGAAAAGCCTAAGGATTTGCTGCATTAGATCTTCAGGAAGCAAACAAGAAAAATGTATGAATTTTGTTTCTGCAGAGAATTTCAAGACATCTACAGGGTTCACAGCAGGAATTGGTGGAGAGAACCTTCTAAGTATTTCACTATGAAGGTTTTAACTGATACTAAAGTTTTGCTCGGAATGTTTTCATTTTACCACGCTGATTTTTAATTCCTAAACTTTCTAACGTATTGCACACTTCTGTGACATCCAGAATTCATTTAGTTAGTTTTCTTGTAGATTATACTCCCATAGCATGTATAAAGGGCTCTTTTTGCCCTTGGCTGATAATAGGATGAAATTCAGAAGTCCTCGTTAGTTAGTTATGCTGCTAACCACAGGCCCTCCTGTACAGTTCTGAGCAACCTCAATGTCTACTGAGGAATCAGGTACAGAAGAGGCAAGGGAAATCACAGGAGCACACTGCTACACATCACAAAATGATCAAGGAGAGAGCAAAAGACAATAAAAGCATTTAGACAATAAAAGCATGAGGAAAAAAAAAAACCAAACAGATCACTGTGCAGAGCCTGGAGCTGGGTCACTCTGGGTGACAGTCTGGAGGGCTAGAAAAGAGCTTTGAAGTTCTGCCATGCAGTTTTGCATATCCATTCCAGGCAAGGCTGTAATACCTTATTGGCTCCAGTTGCAGAGTACAGATGGGAGCAATTCCTGAGTCAGGAGACTTACTGCTGCTTAATTCATTTTCCTGACTGTCAGAAAGAATGGGGTGTTTTTCAAATTTCATATCACCTGCTAACTTCACACACTGTCAGCAGTTATTTTGTAGATGCAAAAAACTTTCAGTACTGCTTGCTTACATTATCTAACTTCATGCTTGCTTTGATATCCTAGCAGATTTTTCAGGACTTGAACTCATTATCTCTCCAAACAATTTGAATACATGCTTGTAATTTGTGCTCTTTCTCCTGTGTGCCCTTCCTCTTGTACCATCTTTTGACTTTTGTCCTTAGCCATACTGTCCTTGAGCTATCAACTATTTTATCATTGCTGGTTTTAATAATATATGTTTATCACATTCTTAGTGATGCTTATTTAATCTCAATTTCATTCCACAGCAAAGAGTGAACAACAAACCATGTGGGACAGACTGGTCACTATCTTCCCTGCTCCTGAAAATCTGATCAGAAAACCAATCTGATCTAAAACCACAAACATCATCCTGATACTTTATTTTATTCAGAAGTTGTTCTGATACATAACAGAAGTACTGATGTAATGCTGCTCTCTAGTGGTTTGCCATTTAAGTAAGTGGGACACTTCTCAGGAAAAGACCAGGAGGAACTTCTCATCACTGCTCAATCTGTTCACTCCTTTTTCTCCTGCTTACACAGCATAAAGCAGTAGCTGCTTCCTGCAGAAAACACTTGGAAGCGTAAGTGCCTTACCTGTCTCACAATGCGTATTGACAAGCAATCATCAGTTTTAGTCCTGACTACCTGAAAACTTTGCTCTAGGATCTGCAGCTTTTCACTTTACCACTCTCCCTCTCCAGATTCACACAACAATTCAATCATCAGGTTTCTGAGATGCTCTGGCAGTCCACTAGGAAAGCAAACCATTTACTTACACTGGTTCCTCTATTTATTTTTTAATTATTTTTAAATCCTTCACTTCTTTAAAAAAAACCCTTCTGAAAGCAATTGGACAGTTTATACGATAGATTTCAAGTTCTTTTCTGACTGCAGCTGAACTCCACGTTTCAACTTATTTGTATGGTTCCCTCACAGATCTTGAAGGCAAACCAAAACAAGAGAGAAAAGCAGAAGGGCTGGCCCACAGGCTCAGAGCCAGTGGTGGAGGCCATGGGTGGAGGCCCCAGGTGAGGCCCCAGGTGAGGCTGCTTGAAAGCAATTAAAGTCCATTGGAACCATCTGGCTTTGATAGTTATGTGTTGCAACAGTCTTTCGTGTTCTGTGCAGCCCTAGTGTGGTCTGCCCAGGGAACGCAGCTGCAGGCTGGATAACCACCTCCTTGGGGTCACCTGCTGGATCATCATCCAATTCTTCAGTGGCCTCTCAGATAATTGTATTTTAGAATGGCTGTGAAAGCTATGTTGACTCAGCCTTGACATGGCATTTATCCCCGAGTCTACTGCTTCTATTTTTACTATATATTCCTTCTAACCATGGGTACAAAAGAAGCACAATCACTCATCCTGGATCCTTTCAGTGTTCGATTGCACTTTCCCACAGCTCAGGCACAGCAGTGATTTAAGCAGCAGTTACCCTCGTTTGGCAGCTGAGAGGTTTCATACGTGAGCTGCTTTGGAACTCCTGCATGAGCATCATCTGCTCCTGGCAAGTCATTACTCTTCATTGCACTGATTTGTGCTAAAACCCTTTCTTCCAAGTACAAATATTTTTTTTATGAGGCATTCTTTCTGAATCTGAGATTTCTTCACACTCAACCTCTGTAAGGAACAAGCTGGTCAGTAATTTTCCTGCCCTGCTCTGTAGTCAGTGCCAACCATAGGAATGCACAGCTTTTATGCAGTAACCTCATAATCTCTGAAGGTCTGTTTTATATTTTGATTACCTATTGACATACTGCCATTAAAAATATATATATATATTGCAGTTATTACAGTTTTGTGTGTTTTGTTTGTTTTTGTTTGTCAGAATATATTTCAGCATTCAGATATGACTTCTACTCTTTTTATTTCTACTGTTTCCCATGTGTAAGTGTCCTTACTGCCTTTTACAGTGTATAGCATACACACATCTTATTTCTACCTCTGGTACATCATTTTCATGCAATTTCTAAGCTTTTCTCCCTTTAGCTGCTTGTTTTATCTAACTTCTTGGCTTTCTATGAGTTTTTCTTTTTAACATCTCATGTTACTACTGTGCATTTTTCATCTCTTTCTGTGCAATGAGAAGCATAAAACAACTGAATCTCTGGAGAGGCTTTTGGAGAAAGAAACATGAACCCTTGATAAGAAATAAAACTAATTCCATATATTAGTGTAGCAGAAATGATAAGTCATGGCTTGAATCAGTGATTGAGCACCTGATGGGAAGGCAGGGCCAGCCCAGGGGAGCTCAGCTGCAGGCAGTGCCCTTGAGTGACTGGAAAGATTGGAGCCAGGATCCACTCCTTCCCAGACCTCATTTAAAGGTTGGCAGGGGAGGCAAGGGGAGATTGCTGGAAATCCCTGTGTATCTGAGGTCTTCTGAAGGTAAGCTTTTTTTTTTTTGTTTGTTTGTTTTTCTTCCTATGCCTCTGGTGGGTGTATTTGAGCAAATACTTGCTGCTGCTTGGGGCCTTGCTGCTCTCTTGTCTTTGCTGCATTTTTTATTTTGTTACACATGAGAAACTGCTTTCAGGTGAAGCTTCTTAATAAGTGAGCATCAAGCAGCTGAGTAAAAGCAATCGTGTAAAGCGATCTAGCTGAAGCTTCAAGAATACAAGAGGGTGTTTGTAGGGAAGCTATACAGCTTGGAAGCATACAATAATAGGCTAGAAATGACACGAGGTGTTTAAACAGGTAATAATGTTTACTGTTTTCTTAGTGTGTCCTCTGCAAAGTATTTTGGAAATATATTGAAACACTTTTGAAAAGTGGGAGGTCTAGCTACTTTTTGTGAGTGCAGAAATTCAGGTGCTGACTTGTGTAAAAGCTCCAGTGTTGCTCACTAATGGAACACAAACTGCGTAGAAGCCAAGAGTTCTTTATTCCCCCACTATGGAGATTGCTACACACGAAAGTGTGTAGTGTTTGGTTGCAAGTAGTGTTTGGTAATGGAACAGAGCATCTGGTCTTCATATGTTCTCTTACATGGACTTATGAGGCAGTTGGGTACTATTAACACTCTAGACAAGGAACCAAGCATATAATTAAAGTCAGGTGGTCAAAGCTGACTGCTAAAAAGAAGAACCTTCATCCAGATTTAGGATTTGAAACAGATGTTGCAGTTCTCAGAAGTGTTTATTACCTGTGGTTCTCAGAAAGCCTGAGCATTCAGTTCTGAAAACTTAATCTGGAAGGAGGTGACACGTAGAATGTTGTGTTTCTGTGGCTCATTTCTATGCATCACTGAAGAAGTGCTTTGCATCAAATCCTGAGTGCTGTAGGTAGCAGTTACTGTGGTCCTGAACAGCATGTAGTTTATAGTGGAAATTGGACATTTTGTGAGAGAGGAGGTGGTTATCTTAATGTTATGAATAATTATTGCTTTAGTGTTGAGGACTTTCAATATCAAAGTATAGTATGTACAGTGATGTCTAATAGCACAAAACAAGCACAGTGAATGTATGATGTTCTAAGTGTGTATTATTAAAAAACCTAGAAGAAACCTTCATGACT